CATATGCCTTGAGTTGCACATAGCTCCAACGATCCCACACACACTCTCTCACACACACACACACACACACACACACCATTTGTATTGTATTATTGTATGAGAGAGGTTCCAGGTTGAATTGAGGCGAATATTTGTAATGTTCAGAGGTTGTTGTGTTTAATATTCATGAGAATATTTGTCATTGTTCAAATGATAATAAACATTAGCATAAAGCATATTTGTCCACTCATATGTTGATAAGAGTATTAAAAACTTGAAAAATATTCCTCTAAGGTACATTTAGAACAATCATGCGATTAATCGCGATTAAATATTTTAATCGACTGACAGCCCTAATATATATATATATATATATGTTATTTATGATATCGGACAAGTAGATCTTTCAATTGACTTGTCCGGAGGACAAGTGACGTTTTTCGCCCTCATTTATTGACAAATTATTGATACATTCAGTTTACAAAAGGCAGAAGTCATTCGCAAATTGTCCGTGTCCGCCATTGTTCGTTTAGAAATTTTAGTTTCGGTTCTGCTTGTCGATTCCTAAGGAAATGCATCTCGCCGCTTTCTGTACGGGCAGTGTGAGAAAAAGTTTTTAGAGAGTACTTGTCCATGGACAAGTGAGTTTGGCAATTTACTTGTCCGAATACATTTTTCACTTGTCCAGAATGGACAAAAATTGGGGCCACTGGAATCTTCTTCTTCGTCATCGTATTTTACATTTTCCCACGGTTTTTACGACACCGCTAACGTGAGTGAGCGGTAAGATTTTACTGCATCACACATAGGGTTGGATATCGTTTGGATTTTAACGATTCTGGTTCTGCTTTTCGATTCCGGTTATTTTCGGTTCTCAATTCCGGTTCTTTGAGAGGGTAAAAATAAGTCAAACTGGGAGAAAAATATATTTATGAAAAGATTAAGTCAAATCTGTATTCCTATTTACAAATCACTTCATACTGTTGAATTTCTTACGGTTATTGAATACAATTATATAGAAATAATCTCTGCATTGTTAGTTCTAAGTGGTGCAGTTTGAGAATGTACAATTGGCCCAGTCTCCTCTGATGTTACACTGCAACCTGCCTGTGAGACAAAGTCCAACCACACATGTCCAACACATAGGACATAACCTAATAATAATAATAATGCATTATATTTATAGCCTATAGGCCTAGCGCTTTTCTACAACTCAAATACGCTTACACATGTCCTGCAATACACATGCTGCAGCTGCTCACTGTTTGTAAAAGTAAATAAATAGTATTTTCATTTCAATAATGTACTTTCTATACCCTGCTTCATAAACAATACTGACATCCCTGTGCTCCTCCGAGTCTGGGGGTCCGGGGATGTGAGGACAGCGCGAGGACACAGACAGGGAGGTTGCTTTACTTCATAAAGGAAATGGTGGTCAATATTAACAACACAGGAGCTAAAACGCTTAATAACCTTCATTATGTGTTAGAGAAAGAACAGAAGAAAGTTTGACAAAGATGAGGCTGTTAATCGGGCAGCGGATCTGCTGTGTGTAGAAAGAGAGAGAGAGAGACGCTGCACCGTGCAGCGATCAGCTGATACGGAGCATAGAGAGAGCTGCAGTCCCGGTACCAGACAATTGTTATTCGTTCCTACTCGGAACTGTGTTTTGCTTCCCAACCCTGCCACTGTGCTACACTTCCCGCCCCGCCTAACTGTACAGAAAGCGGCGAGATGCATTTCCTTAGGAATCGACAAGCAGAACCGAAACTAACACTTCTAAACGAACAATGGCGGACACGTACAATTTGCGAATGAGTTCTGCCTTTTGTAAACTGAATGTATCAATAATTTGTCAATAAATCAGGCCGAAAAACGTCACTTGTCCGCCGGACAAGTCAATTGAAAGATCTACTTGTCCGATATTGTAAATAACACGTCCCGGACGGTGGGACGTGTACTTTTTCGCATACTGACGGGACCATGGATGTATAATAAGAACGACGTGTAGCACAGTGGCAGGAAGCAAAACTCGGTTTCGAGTAAGAACAAATAACAATTATCCGGTACCGGGATTAATAAGAGTTGTGAGGACAGGAGGCGAGGCCGAGCCCCGCGGACTGCAGCTCTCTCTCTATGCTCCGTATCAGCTGATCACTGCACGGTGCAGCTCAGTGTCTCTCTCTCTCTCTTTCTACACACAGCGGATCCGCTGCCCGTTTAACAGCCTCATCTCTGTCAAACTTTCTTCTGTTCTTTCTCTAACAAGTAATGAAGGTTATTAAGCGTTTTAGCTCCTGTGTTGTTAATATTGACCACCATTTCCTTTATGAAGTAAAGCAGCCTCCCTGTCTGTGTCCTCGCGCTGTCCTCACATCCCCGGACCCCCAGACTCGGAGGAGCACAGGGATGTCAGTATTGTTTATGAAGCAGGGTATAGAAAGTACATTATTGAAATGAAAATACTATTTATTTACTTTTACAAACAGTGAGCAGCTGCAGCATGTGTATTGCAGGACATGTGTAAGCGTGCAAGCATCTTTGAGTTGTAGAAAAGCGCTAGGCCTATAGGCTATAAATATAATGTATTATTATTATTATTATTAGGCCTATGTGTTGGACATGTGTGGTTGGACTGTGTCTCACAGGCAGGTTGCAGTGTAACATCAGAGGAGACTGGGCCAATTGTACATTCTCAAACTGCACCACTTAGAACTAACTAAACAATGCAGAGATTATTTCTATATAATTTTATTCAATAACCGTAACGAAATTCAACAGTATGAAGTGATTTGTAAATAGGAATACAGATTTGACTTAATGTTTTCATAAATATATTTTTCTCCCAGTTTGTCATGGGACTTATTATTACCCTCTCAAAGAACCGGAATCGAGAACCGAAAATAACCGGAATCGAAAGGCATAACCGGAATCGTTCAAATCCAAACGATACCCAACCCTATGTGTGATGCAGTAAAATCTTACCGCTCACTTACGTTAGCGGTGTCGTAAAAAACGTGGGGAAATGTAAAATATGATGGCGAAGAAGAAAATTCCAGAATGTACCCATGCTTCTCTGGTGGGAGGGACTAGTCGCAGGGAAACGAGGCAAGTGAGGGACGCAAGGAATCCGAAGTGAGAAGGGCCCATACACACACAAATGCACACACTCACAGTCAGAGACAAGAGCGGAGAAAAGGGGGAGAACAACAAAGTGTAAAAAGTCAAACAACTCTGCATTATAGCCCCGATCTCTGCTGTTGGTCAAGTCCTGGGCGTAATTTCCCCATGTTCACTGTTCAAAATCCCGTTTGTGTCCCACACACTTTCAAATTAGTTTATCATTATTTGTTTAGGCTCGTCACGGAGGAGCAGGACACACAGCTATGGAGGTTATTCCCTATCTTTATTCAAGAGCGTGGTATTTAAATTTGAGAGCATACTTTATGTATTTCCCTCAAACACTGTCCTCACACTCAAATAGTGCCTGCTTGCACTTAGATGTGCTCTGCTTGTGCTCAAACTGTACGCTTGCACTCAGATATATTGCTGCTTACATATTTTTTCTGCTCTCAGATTTATTCTGTGCGCGCTCGAAACTTTTGTGCAACAATCCTGTCAAAATCCCTCAACCAATAGGAGGCCAGGTGTCCTTGCGGGTGCGTTCGCTTTACTTATTACAGCGTCCCGTAAGGGCGGTTACTCTTTGGTTTATAAACTCCAGCCCTCCACGGCTTTATAACATAGCATGTACTTCACTTGTTTGATTACAGCGAAGTGAAGTACATGTTATGTTATAAAGCCGTGCTTAACAGGCTAAAGTGACAACAATAGCAACGCCTAAAATGGCGGTAGAGGAGAGTGGAGCAGTGGCTAATGTGTGCTAACAGGGAATGAAGCAGTTGCTAAATGTGTCAACCGTTAACGAACATGCTGCTTTTGCTTTTACACAAGTTTTCTTCAAATACATTTGTTTTACCGGAATTAATTCCCCGGCATATGCCTACATGACGGGCTAACTTTCTTAGCTTTAACGATAGCTCTTACTAAAGAGGATGACTCATTACAAAAAATAACGGTAGCTAACCCTAAATGATTTGGGCTAACTTCCCAACTCTGTAGCGCACAATATTGTTTGTTAAAACCATAGACTGTATTTATAAAGGTTCAAACTTACCTTCTCATGTCCTTAACCATTTTAATGTTCTTCTAATGTTGTGCTTGATAGACTCCTTGGAATTGAGCAGTTCTGCAAGATTGTTAACCTTAGACTCTTGACAATGCTTTCTTCCCGCTTCGTTCCATGACCTATGACGTCTCTGTGGCAAACTGCGCATGTGTAGTCACTAAGCCTTCCGTCGAGTTTCTCCGAGTGGTCTCCACGTGTGTGTTCATTCAAGCGGACGATAACTTATCTCACAAGAAAGTCGTTTTGAGTTAAGTTAACAAATAATGTTGATGTCACTATTTTGTGTACTTTCATCAACCGGCACGAGTTATTGAAACTACGTTCACACATCAACGGTAAGAAAAACAGCGTTTCTGCAGCTATGTGATGTTTACGGGAGCTATTGTTTGGATGGCAGAGGGAGATTTATTTTACTCTTTAAAACTTATTTTGATATTTAATGAAAATACAGTTTGTTGTTCTGCATGTTACTGGGACTGAAATGTATGACCTGCTTTCTCTGCACAAGACTGACTTATTGCCTTCATTTATATTTGCGATATATGGCTTTACCTCATTTTAAAGCTGCATTTATTTAAAAAAGGCCCAAACTAAAGCACAACAAGATATTTCTCTATTATTTGTCAGATGTGCAAGTGTCTAACTGGATGGACTCCATCTGTCTTTGAGCTTTGTGGTAGTGATTTTTTTATCAAATGAATGGTCTCAAGGTTAACATTTAGAAAAACACAAAATGTTTATTTTAATTCCTGAAGTTGGCTAATAAGTAATATGGTAATCTATGTTATTGCAGATGGCTGAACTTCAGGTTGTTGATAACACAAGCAGCAGAATGACTTCATCAGCAGAGGTAAGTTACTTTAACTTTTTTAAGTGAAAATCCTGGTTAAATAATTATTCATATTTGAGTGAAAACAATGACATTCTGTTTAAAGTTTAGCAGTCTAGAGTCCTGTTGATTTAAGTTTTCAGAATTGTTTACTTGTTTATTTGAGTCTAAACAATGAAGAATTAAAAAAGCATTCGTTATACTGAGTGAATCATATTGGTTGCTAGGAAACATCTGGCAAAATCAATCAAAAATGTAAACAGGAAGTCACCTGTAGCAAATAGTGAGTGCTAAAGCTACAGTAGCATACAAGGAGATGGTAACATCTGATCAATCACATTTACTCAGAGGTGGGAGAAGTACTCAGATATTGTACTTGAGTAGAAGTACCAGAGTGTAGGAACACTCTTACAGTAAAAGTCCTGCATTCAAAATGTTCCTCAAGTAAAAGTAGAAAAGTATTCTCATCAAAATATAGTTAAAGTAGCGACAGTAAAAGTAGTCATTGTGCAGATTGGTCTATTTCAGAATAATATATATGATATATTTTATAATGATTGATCATTAAAGTGTTATCAAAGCTGGTAAAGGTGCAGCTAGTTTGAATGACTTTGTATACTGCAGGGTAGCTTGTGAATTTACTCCAGGTCGAACTAAAGTCTGATTTAAGACTTGATTATATTTCACATCATTCATCCAGATCTGGAGAGTAACTAAAGGTATTAAATACATGTAGTGGAGTACAGGTACACCATTTACCTTTGAACTGTAGTTGAGTAGAAGTACAAAGTACATGTAACATGGAAATACTCAAGTAAAGTACAGGTACCTCAAAATTGTACTTAAGTACAGTACCTGAGTAAATGTACTTCCTACCTCTGAATTTACTGATATAATGTGATCATTTAATTTTCATTATTTTCAAATTCACAGTGTAGATATTTGAATAGCTAGTGATACCTGGATACTATAACTAATTTATAAAACAATGAAACGAGTTTGTGCGCTTCAACCCTTTTAGTTTTTTGTATTTAGCTATACATAACTCTAACCTTATAACAGATAAAGTATGCAATATTCCATCATGATATTGGTTGGAAAAAACACATTTTGATTTTGCATGTTTTGAATAATATTAAAAAAAATGTGTCTGTGAGAGCCAACCCCTTTGTATTTATTTAAAAATAACAACAAATCAATCTGAATCAAACAACCAATCAGTGCGTCTTTGTGCAGAAGTTGTATCAAGTTAATGGGTATTTATACTTCTTCCTTTATTCAGCGGTATTTTAGGCCACAACGAGTCAGAATGCATTCTCTGGTTTCATTAAAAACCTTACTTTACTTCTGTCACGTCCATTTTTAAATTGCATCAAGACATTTATATGTGTCCTAATACACTTGTGTCACTTTCTCTGTTGATTTGTTTTTTTGTTTTATAGGAAGAGACCTGCAAAAACCCAGATAGACTTTATGATGAGGGGGATAAGAGTATCCTCGGAGAACAGCTGGATCAACATCAGTCTACAGCCACAATAGGAAAACCACACACCTGTGACCAGTGTGAGAAGAGTTTCTGGAGTTCAGGGATATTGAAGCGCCACAAACGTACCCACAGTGGAGAGAAGCCTTTCACCTGTGATCGGTGTAGGAAGAGCTTTAGCCGGTCAGGCGTTTTGAAGATGCACCTGCGAACCCACACTGGAGAAAAACCCTACTCCTGTGACCTCTGTGAGAAGAGCTTTAACCAGTCAGGCGATTTGAAGATGCACCTGCGAACCCACACTGGAGAAAAACCCTACTCCTGTGACCAGTGTGGGAAGAGCTTTAGCCAGTCAGGCGATTTGAAGATTCACAAGCGAACCCACACTGGAGAAAAACCTTTCACCTGTGACCAGTGTGAGAAAGGTTATACCAGGTCAAGCTATTTGACGATTCACAAGCGAACCCACACTGGAGAAAAACCTTTCACCTGTGACCAGTGTGAGAAGAGCTTTAGCCAATCAGGCAATTTGAAGATTCACAAGCGAACCCACACTGGAGAAAAACCTTTCACCTGTGACCAGTGTGAGAAAGGTTATACCAGGTTAAGCTATTTGACGATTCACAAGCGAACCCACACTGGAGAAAAACCTTTCTCCTGTGACCAGTGTGAGAAGAGCTTTAGCCAGTCAGGCGATTTGAAGATTCACAAGCAAACCCACACTGGAGAAAAACCTTTCACCTGTGACCAGTGTGAGAAGAGCTTTAGCCAGTCAGGCGATTTGAAGATTCACAAGCGAACCCACACTGGAGAAAAACCTTTCACCTGTGACCAGTGTGAGAAAGGTTATACCAGGTCAAGCTATTTGACGATTCACAAGCGAACCCACACTGGAGAAAAACCTTTCACCTGTGACCAGTGTGAGAAGAGCTTTAGCCAGTCAGGCGATTTGAAGATTCACAAGCAAACCCACACTGGAGAAAAACCTTTCACCTGTGACCAGTGTGAGAAAGGTTATACCGGGTCAAGCTATTTGACGATTCACAAGCGAACCCACACTGGAGAAAAACCTTTCACCTGTGACCAGTGTGAGAAGAGCTTTAGCCAGTCAGGCAATTTGAAGATTCACAAGCGAACCCACACTGGAGAAAAACCTTTCACCTGTGACCAGTGTGAGAAAGGTTATACCAGGTTAAGCTGTTTGACGATTCACAAGCGAACCCACACTGGAGAAAAACCTTTCTCCTGTGACCAGTGTGAGAAGAGCTTTAGCCAGTCAGGCGATTTGAAGATTCACAAGCGAACCCACACTGGAGAAAAACCTTTCACCTGTGACCAGTGTGAGAAGAGTTTCAGGGACTCATTCTCATTGAAGCGCCACCAGATACACCACTCCTTTGACCGGTGGAACAAAGAGTTCAGGAACTCACATAGTGTGAAGCTCCACCAGCCTACCCACAGAGGAGAAAAACCTGACGTCTGTGCTCACTGTGAGAAGAGTTTCAGAGAACCAGACCACATGGGAGAAAACCTTCACTAGTGCACTGAGACTGTTCAGAAAGAGTGAGGTGGACTGTTTGACACAACTCGCTGTTAAAAGATGTTGTGTGGATTTAGAAAGTTGTTCAAATGTTCTCAATAATATTAAAATGCATGCACTTAAGTTGTCAACTTGTATTTTTTTCCACAGCAAAAACACACACAAAGCTCCCTAAAGAACAAGGCACCACAGTAAAAATGTTATAAATATGTGGTAATTTAACAACAAGCTAAAGCCTACTGATTTCTAAAAGTGTGCATAGAGCCTTTTTAGTGTCATATATAGAACCATAAACTATTACCGTTGCTGACTGTACTCATTCAGGCCATTTTACCATCAGAAAGAGGTTCCACAGGGGTCTATCCTTGGTCCATTCATGTTTACATTACATGTTACATGTTACATAACTCTTTCCAGTAGCCACACTTTCTCCTTCGACCCCTTCTCTGTTGGGGAGGTTTGTAAGGCTCTAAAGGGCCTAGAGCGCAATAAATCAGCAGGCCCAGATGATCTACCCCCTTATTTCTTACGTCTAGCTGCAGATATTATAGCCGAACCAGTGTGTCAAGTTTTTAATCTTTCTATAACAAACAATGTCATTCCAGATGTTTGGAAAACTGCAAATGTTCTCCCCTTATTGAAAGGTGGTGATCCCATGGTGATGAATAATTATAGACCAATTTCCAAGCTCTTTATGTTAGCTAAAGTACTTGAAAGGCTGGTGAATGATCAAATCAAAGAATATTTAAGCTTGAACAACAATCTCCTCACATTGACAGACTGCACAGTGATTTACCTGTCCGGTAGAGAGTAGGACATGAACGCTGCCACGCCAAAACATTTGTGTCACCACGCCAGGCTACAGCCACCATGGAGAAGCGGAAATGGGAGAGACCCGGGTTGCGTTCCGATAATCCAAAAATCAGCTCCTAAGTTCTAACCCTATCTCCTATTCCTTGACCTCTGAGTGAAACGTCACGGGGTTAAGGGATAGTGGATAGGAGAATTCAAAAGGATTTAGGAGAAGAGACTGCGGTACTTCAGAGAATCCGACAGCACTTTCACTATCCGACGTGTTTATGATGCTCCAGCGGACGTCATGAATGTGCGTCTGCTGCTGTGGGGAAACTACAGTTTTCTATACAGCGGACTACAACATGGATGTATAATAAGAACGAGGGACTACTGTAAACTCATCTAGAGACTCTGCACCGTGCTCTGATGCTGTTGCTTTATGCTTTATGAACGTGGACAACAGAGAAACATATTCTTCATGACCAAAGTTGGAATTGAAATAAAAAAGGAAAGTGAAATGTATGCTCGTCACCCTCTCCCTCCGGTCCACATTAATACAAATGATCCCAATACGTATGATTGTATGAACTATGAAAAGATCTTAAAATCAATACAAATGTATTTATTATAAACGTTAGTCCTTAACATCTATCATTGTGTATATCACCATTCAAACATCTTTTAAAAGTTGAACAAACTCCACACAGCTCAGTAAAGACTGTTAAATGTTGACTTTATTTGATAATTTCAGTAAAAACTAACGTTCATATTTCTCTTTTTGATTATAATACTGATGAACGTTCAGAAAAAAGCACTTTGGCAACTTACCACATACGTTTTAAAATGCTTAATAAGCACCGTAACTTTCATGATATCATTTCTCCGTCATAATCGGTTGTTTCCGTGAACGGCCGACTGAGTGACGGCAAATGCTGCGGCTGCAATGCATTGTGGGGCAGCATTTTCTCCTCTCCTTTCGGTTAGGGAGGTCCAGTGGTTCCTAAGCTAAAGGAGGTTATAAAGGAAGTTTGAAACCTCCTTTCCTTTCATTTGGAGAATTGGAACGGCACTTATCATGGCTGCCAGTGACGTACTAAACGGGTAATTTCACTCCGTTAAGAAGGTTCCTAAGCTAAATGGACTATTGGAATGCAACCCTTGTTTGGCACCTCAGTTTAAATAGCCAGTGCGCACAATTGGTGCGCTGGAACCAGGGGCCTCATTTATAACGCCGTGCGTAGGATTCACGTGGGAAGGTTGCTTACGTAGTAGAAATCCAAAAAATAGGTACAGAAATGTTCCGACATTTTCAGATTCACCAAACATTGCGTACCCGCGAGGAAAGTGCGTACAGCACTTCCTACGCCGGTTTCCCTTTATAAATCACAATCGACTCGAAATGCGGTGCAGCTTTTGCGGGCTTCACGTAACGCCCATATTTGCCTATAAATAGTCAAAGAAACGCCCATTCATTCATTCATTTTGACAATGATTTTGACTGACTTTATGAAGAAGATAGCAGGAAATTACGACAGAACAGCTAAAAAAGACATCTCACACCGTGTCAGATTTTGGTTATTTTGGGGAGGTCGAGATAAATCATATTGTTTGGTGGATGCCGTTTGAACCAGAGTAGCAGCATGGAGGTCGCATCGTCACCAAAATAAATAAATAAGTGGTCCGAAAAAGGTTCATGACAAAACTGGATAATATATCGATTTCAAACCATGTCAGTGGGCTGCAGCATAAATTATTTTGAATCAGTTGATTGTTACTATTAATGATCTGGACATGCAGAAGAGGCTAAAATGAACACAAAACATTGTCAACATTCATTTTCCATGTCTCTCTCCTTTCCATAACCTGCACCCTCTCTTCCATCTTCTTTACTCTCTCTGTCTTCTTCCTGTTCATTACTCTCTCTGTCCTCTACTCTTTCTCTTTGTTCAATATCTCCCTCATTGTTCACTTTTTGCTCCTCCTCACTTGTCGCTCCTGCCAGTGAATTAAAAGCAATTCAGCAATTTAGTTCATTTCACTTGTTTGTTTGCATTTTTTTTAAATTTAAATCTGTTTTGTTTGATTCTCAAAAGAGAACAAAGATGTAAGCAAATTGTGTTTTATACAATTGTATGTTATGACATCCTAACTTCAATAGATGTATGTTGTTTTAAAATTATGCCTATTGTCTATATTGTAAATGAAGACTAAGTTATAGATAGATGGAGATGGATAGATGGGGTTATTAAGCCTACATTCTTTTGTGTGACTGTAAAATAAACTCAAGTTTTATTTATATAGCACTTTTTTTTGGTTGAGCCAAAGTGATATACATTACACTTTACAATAAAAACACTTAGCAAATACAACAGCACAAATACCTGCAGTTCCTCCCTGATTTCCATCTCTCTCTCTCTCTCTCTCTCTCTCTCTCTCTCTCTCTCTCTCTCTCTCTCTCTCTCTCTCTCTCTCTCGTCTCTTCCTTACCAAAGCTGAGCTTCGACTGACGTAGTCTTTTCATTATATCTATCCAGGACATGGTTAAACCGTACACCCCAGTGCGTGCACTACGCTCTGCATCAGCCAAACGACTCGCTGCACCCTCGCTGCGAGGGGGACCCAAGTTCCCATCAGCAAAAACACGTGGGTTTGCTATCCTGGCTCCAAGATGGTGGAATGAGCTCCCCATTGACATCAGGACAGCAGAAAGCTTACACACCTTCCGGCGCAGACTGAAAACTCATCTCTTTCGACTCCACTTCGAGCGATATCATTATTAACAAAGCACTTATATACTTATAAAGGACTGGCTTATCTAAAGCCAGTTGAGTAGCACTTGAAATGTTTGGCTCTATGAAACCTGATGTACTTATATGATTCTGTTTTCTTCAAGGTTGTGTCTTCTTGGTCGAATGTACTTATTGTAAGTCGCTTTGGATAAAAGCGTCAGCTAAATGCGATGTAATGTAATATCTGAGTCAGTGTAAAAAGAAAACAATACAATGTTATATCTTCAATGTTTTACTCAAATTGAAATGAAAGAAAAGCATTACAACGTTTGTTAAAAGGTAATCCTTCTGACATTGGATGAATGTAATTAACTTTAGCTCTCTAGAGTTTATTCACGCAATTTAAACCAAAGTATAGCCTATAGCTGCAAAATAAGTTAGTGTGCATATTGTCGGACGTCCACTGACTAACGTAGTGCGTTCACACCTATAGTTCACACAGGATCTGCTGGTCATGATGTCCTGATGAACAGAAACACAAGCAGCCCACTGGACTCAGATCTCTATACCTCATCACTCCTCCGCTGCTCCGATACAAGTCCGGGGGCCTTTCTTATTTCCCCAATTTCCCCTCCTCGAATCCTCGGTACTCCGGTAGTGACCCGGAAATGTTTTTTGGCACGCTGGAGGAGCTATAATCGAGGATACACTGATGGGTCCTCCACGGGTGTGACGCACGGCCGGACTTATCTCAGCCAATGACAGCTCTGCATGCATTCCCTGGATATTATTTTATTAACTGCTTTCATCGCTTTCAAACCTTGTGGAGGGGGCCACACCTTGCGGAGGGGGGCCTCATCTGCGCAATTAGGGTGGCGCGGCACGGTTTCGCCGCTGCGAGGCTCCACTAGCACTCATCAAATAACTGTGCGTGGGGCCTCAAATTGGCCCCTGGGCCCTTCATTATTCTTGGAAATACTTCATCTGCAATATCTTTTTGGGCCGTAAATCAATATACTTATGTTATTATAATGTAATTTTAAGTTTGCACATCTTTATTTATCATTTTTTCAAAAATGTACATCTCTTCAGTTCAAACCCTGAACGCATACCTGAGTGGACATATAACAATCTCTTTGAAAAAACTAGATTAAAAAAAAAATAAGTTCAAATAAAAAATGTCATGCCCCAAGAGCAATAATAACACTTGGTAAAAAAATCCTGACTGAGGCTTTCATAATTTACACTATTACCATGGAAACTACCGGAACGTGTCGCCCCCTGCCGGTGCGGCGGATCAACCTCAGCACCGGAAATGCAAGCCTCCGTTCTGTCTATGGCGCGATAGACCCAACGCTGTGTACATACAAACTTCTGCCTGGAAACAAATCAATAAAGAGTTTCCTTTCATCCCCATATCTTAAGTTTGGGATATTTTGCCAATTGACACTACAAACTCACGGGAAATATTGCTCA